TTACTATTCGGATATTAATAATTACTATAGTTAAGGACGTGAAGATTTGAAATTCGAAAAATTGAGAATATAATAATTTGAAATTTTAGTATTTGAGAAATTCAAAAATTTGGAACCCGGATACTTGAATACCAGAAATTCGAATACCTGTAGTTCAGAATTTCGAATTTTTTAATATTTGAATATTTGAAGTTTCGAAATTTGAGCATTCAAGTATTTGGAAGTTTGAATATTCGAACATTTAAAATTCAAATACTTCACATTAGAACTTGCGATTATTCAGTGATCTAAAATTCAAATACCTCCGTATTCAAAGATTAAAAATTCAAGTATTTAAATATTTTAATATTTCAAATTTAAATGTTTGCGTATCGGAAAATTAAAAATTCGAATATTTGTATATGAAAATAATTGGAATTTGAATATTCATGATTCGTATTATATTTATATTTAATAATTATATATCTATAAATAAATAAAATTGATTACAAAAAGATATATTTATACTTCCTTGCGTGAAAATCTTGTATAACGAATAATTTTGATTTATTCGTCATTTGCAAATAAAATTAATACGTTTATTTGCAATTCATGAATAATGAATAAATCAAATTTATTCGTCATTTTAAATTAATTCTGCCCAACCCTGGACCACATACGACACGAAGCTATAGGTAGCTTTAGAGAGAAGAATTTCGTAAGCTCAACTCTCTGAGAATTCCAGAAATTTATTCATATTGAATTATCGTAAGGTGAACTTGCAAAATGCTGTATTTAATTCGTACCCTTTTTTAAATAAATTATTAATGGTAAACAGTGGTGTTTTAAATATTATATAAAGTGGTCAGTACTGGAGACGTAGCAAAGAAGAAGATAATTGCACATGGAAAAATAAAACGAAAATATAGAATAAAATTTGTCCATATAAGATTTTTTATTTTTTCAAAAACTGAATTACAAAATTCGTCAAAATATTTATAAGAAAATTTGTTTATAGCAAGAAAAATGACAATTTCGACTCTTTAGTTAATTCAACAATTAATAGATGTTATAAATTAATACATGTAATTATTAGTCTCGACAAAGTTATTAGTTTGTTACGATAATGTTACTTATGTAAGTATTTAAATCATACTACCTATTCAATTTATTATGTTATTTTCATATTAATTCGTATATAAACAATATCATGACGAGTAACTAAAAATATATTTTAGCGTATTAATAACTACATTTATTAATTTGTAACATTCGTTAATTATTACATTAAATTGATATTGTTATTTTTCTTGTAAACAAATTTTTGTATAAATAATTTGAAGAAATTTTAAATTCAATTTTCTTGAAAACCAAGCCTTACTCGAACAAGTGTTCTTTTATATTTTCGACTTACTTTTTCGTGTAGGATCATTCCCGCTTCAATTGCAACACCCTGTATTAATTAATTTATGAAAATTAATAATAAAAATGAATGTACCGTTGAAGGGAGTCAAAAGTACTTTTTTATATTAAATTGTAATAAGTTATTAGTAAAATTTCTTACTAAAGATTTATTAATGGCCACAATAATGGAGGTGGTAGTGTAAAAAATTATCAGGTGGAAATTTGTTTCTTAAACTTGATATATCGTATAGATTAAGGGGTTTAAATATTTTGTAGTGCATCACTGAAATTTCTAAACTTCTTTCATTCTTTTTAGTTACATATTAATTGTTCTTTATATTCTGCTGTACTTATGCTACCATACTTTAAAACCTTGGTTATCATAAATAAATTACATACGCCTTAATAAAATTTCCTATACATAAATTACACATTCTTTTATAAAATTCTCAATTTTCTGTTTTATTTTGACACCATATTAAAAAATAATAATATTACGGAATCTATCTTTAAATAACTTTCTAATATAGAATACAATATTGATTATTATTTTCTGATAACTACTATTTTCTTATAACTTATTATTATTTTTTTAGCATTATTAATGGAAGACCAAAAATGTTTTTTTCTTTTAAAATCAAGAACATCGTGGAACAACCAGTTCAAACTGTAAGAAAAGACTCAAAATATAAATGTATTGCACAAATAACAGATACTAGACTCTGTTTCTTAGATGTGAACGAGTTCAAGAAGAAAGTCTAGCCTCGCAAAGCATAAAGGTTTTTTATTATTATTTATGACTAACATTTAATATTCATATATTGTAAACGAATGTTGCATATTATAAATTTAAAATACATATAATACCGTTATTTATTGAGTAACAATATTGCTATTCAATATGTATCGTTAAATGTGTGTAAATAAATGCATGCATGAAATGTATATCTAATTCTACCGTAAAAATAAACGTTTGTGTTGGAAATGGATGTTACAAGTCTTAAATTTCGACTCTAAGTCCAGAGTTATACTATGTAGGCATATACTGCGGCCCTGTTTCAAATATTACCTTCTATATTACAAGGGAAGATTTTGTGCTTCAAGTTATAACAGAATACTACACATACAATACGGCAAATTTACATTTACTATCATTCTATAATAAATAAATATTTAAAATTACTTGGTTACTCATATTTGTAATACAAAATTCGTGGCAAATGATATACTTTCCTTATTTACAACTTAATTTAGAATATTATAGTTATACGTGTAGTATTCAATTACTATAACCTTCAGTTTAAAAAGTATCAGCTTAAATACAATAATTTTTCCATATCTGATTTTTATATTCACCTACCACGTATCTTCATAAAAATCGCTTCCAATCATAAATTATGAATAATTTTGGTAAATACATGAAAGCTTGAATAGAGAAGAAACAAACATCACAATAATTGTTTATTAATATTATTGAAAATAAATTTATTGAAGTTATTATTTAGGAGAATTTTTCATAATCTTATAATGGTACTCAAAGTATTAAATAGTAAAATATCTTCTCTAAGTACTAATCCTAACATACATACATATTATCGTTAAATTAAAAAGATGCAATATTTATTAGAATTTCGTCTCAGAAATATTTCTTAGCCTTTTGGCTCCAAAGATTTATTTTGCTATTTAAAATGTTCCCTCAGAGGGAACAACCGAGTGCAACGAGTCAAAATATTCATAAAATCAGTTGCACATCTAATATCATTAAGTCGTAAACTTTTACGACTCTTCCAAAGTCACAAAAAGTGTATATAAAAAATAAACAATTCGTAATTTGAAATTACAATCAACTACAATATTAGCATACAAGTGGAATATAATTTTACATATGGAAATGATTCAAATGGATATAACACAATATTACATATTATTTATAATTCTTTCCTTTCATCTTTCAAAAGGTGTACGTTTCTATTTTGAAACATTCTACAACTGTAAAGTTCATATGCACGGTTGCAATTGCAAAATATGATCATAAAAATATAGTTCATATTAAATCATTAGCTCTATAAAATTTAGGGATTTAGGGATTTAGGAATTTCAATTAAAATCAAAGACACAATTTGTTCAAATTGCGTGCATCGCTCTCTGTACAGATCAAAATTAGAAGATTAAGTGAAAATAATTTGGTATATACCTTATCTTTTCAAAATTTAATTATGCACTTCAAACAAAAGCATCTCAATAATTTTCACAACATAAAATGAGAAACTTGAATTATTCTACCAAGATAAAAAATTATGTTATATGATTTTAAAAGTTCATATTTGATTTGATCAAATGATATATTTTTCATGGTATACACATATTTTTTAACACATAAGATGTTTAAATATCGTAACTTAATCAAAAACGTAATTAATTAAAAGATAATTTCGCATAAGATTCGTGAAAAGTAAATTTTAAAAACAAAACATCACTTCCGAAACTTACGTTGTATAAGTTAAAAAAAAATTAAAAATCATTGTAAATAATACGCGCTTACATTGCTTTGAACGTGATGTAACATTTGTCAATTTATGTCATGCACTGCAACAATTATTAACAGTTAAAAGAGTATAAAAATTTTGTCTTATGGGCCACATTCAATAATAGTTTAAAAATTTTCACACTGATGCTATTATTTTTAACTAACAAATGGGAAAGAAATTAATTTTTCGAACTTTTGAAACGATCTAAAATTAGTGCAATTAATTCGTAGTGCTATTTGTAGTATATTTGTTTCCTACTGTTATTGTAGGACGATTTAATATTTTTATATAAAGAGTGGATCAGTTAAAAACTCTTTGTACATGATTACAGACATTTTTTTACAAAAACGCAACTTTCTTTTTTAAACATTCATATTTTGTACAATTCTGCATTTCTATTTTTCAGTTAAAGTTACTTCACAGCGTAATTTTATAACAAAAGTAAGACAACCTACAGTTTACATTTCAGGTACACACAGAAGGTGCTATGCTAGATAGATAACCCCGATGTGCAGATTGAGAAGAATTTCTATCATAAATCTATAGCAAACTTCTATTTTGCAATCGACAAACTTCGTCTACCAGTAAGAGTGAAGTACATTTCAAGTTTCTAATAATGTTGCTCAACCGTTACTTCAAAAAAAATCTAGAAAAACATCTTGTTATTTACAAGTTACTTAAACACTATTTTATATTCATAAACACCAAAATAGGTACCTCTTGCATTAGGGCATAAAAAACTAACGTCTAAATTAACTAATTAAATTAACTCTTTGTCGTAGTCACTCATGACCTCATAATTTAAAAATAATGAATTTTACTCCAATTTTATATACTCTCCAATTTGAACTTTAAATCCAGTTCTAATCTATACAATCAGATAATCTATATGGTTGTGTATAATCTATATAATCAATTATCGCTAGGCATTTCAACTTTCCATATTTGTTTCAATATCGTAGTAGCGAATAATTAGATGTGACTAACGCATCTATCAAGAGATGAAAAATAATAGCAAATAAAATGTTTCTGCAAAAAGCTGCGAAACAGACGAATATAATATTCGGCATTGATTGTTCTAATGTTAAGGCTCGGTTGAAAAATGATATGGCACAGTGCGGCCCTGTCTGGAGTATTGATCTGTAGGAGAGTTGTCTGCCGCCCCTCCCAAGCCCAACTCTAGATGTTTCATCCCTCCACAACCCTTGAACAACAAGGATGTCGTGCACCTGTGACTAGGCTGTTGGCGAATACCCTATTAGGTATGTTACTTCGAAACATTATCTCCGATTCACGATCATTGCGCACCAACTCTCGTCTTTTCATCGCAGCAATCTTTCCATTTAAATTCGACCTCAGTGTCTGATGTGAGCGCGCGCAGAATAATTTAAATTTTAGCGGAGATCCAGCGCCGCTTACGCAAGATACGGTAAAAGGGAAAGTAACGACAGTGGATCTCCTCTGTTTAAGCTGTTTATACTACTCGATATTAAAAGAGACGAGTAATTGCACTGAAAAAATCCTCGCGTTTAGTCACGCGCGTTAACAGTCGAACTTTTATATTTGTTGTCAGAATTTGGAAATTTGGGAAATCAGGGGAATTACAGATTAGAAAAGGGATTTGAAAAATTGAGAATTTGTAACTTTTAGGATTATTAGATTTTGGAAACTGAAAATTTGGGAATTTGGGAACTTGAGAACTTGGAAGTTTGAAAGCTTGAGAATTTAAGAAATTAAGAGAATTAAAGATTAGCTAATTAAGGGATTTGAAAAATTAAAAATTGTAACTTTTGGAATTATTAGATTTTGGAAACTGAAGATTTGGGAATTTGGGAGCTTAGGAACTTGAGAATTTAGAAAATTAGGGGAATTAAAGATTAGATAATTAAGGGATTTGAAAAATTGGAAATTTGTAATTTCTGGGATTATTAGATTTTGGAAATTGAAAATTTGGGAATTTGGAAGCTTAGGAACTTGAGAACTTGAACATTTGGAAATTTGAGAATTTAAAAATTTAAGAGATTAGAAATGTGAGAATTTGGTATCTTAGAAACTCAAATTTTCTGAAATTTGAACATTTAAAAATTTGGAAATTAAGGATTTAAAAGATTAAAAATTTGAGGACCCGACATTTGAAAGTTTGCGTAATCACAAAGTTTAAAAATTTGGAAATCTGAAAAGTTATAAATTTGGAAATATACAGTTCATTAATTAAAAATTTTGAAACTTTAAACATTAAAAAATTTCCAAGTTTACGAACTTGAAGATTTAGGTAATCAAAGCTTTAAAAATTTGAAAATTAAAAAATTAAGAGAGTTAAAAATTTAGAAATATAGGAATTCTGAAGTTTAAAAATCTGAAAACTAGCAGATTAAAAAATTTAGAAACTTGAAGATTTGAAAGTTTTAAGGTTTTTGAATTATAAGGCTTGGCATTTTTATATTTGGAAATTTTAAGATTCTTAAATTATAGAGATATTGGAATTTCTGCATTTGGAAATTTTAAGTCCAGAGATTTAGAGATTCGGGGATTCGAAAATTCACGTATTTAAAAATTTAGAGATATGAAAATTAATAAGATTTGGACTTAAAAATATGGAAATATATGCATTTCCATAATCATAGATTTAAACATTTGAGAATTTGGGGAATTATGCATTTGGAAATTGTAATATTTCAAAATTCACGAAAGTTCAAAAATAAGAAAATTTCGTATTTGTAAATTTATAAGTTTGGAAATTTCAGGATTAACTTGCACTTTCCAATAACAAAATACGTCCATATGAGTTTCACTTCAAAGAGACTGAGTTTTGTCTTCAGTATATAATAAATAAATAGTTCATTATGTAAATTAAAATTATTATAAACTCATTTCTTTTAGTATTTCGTTTTTAAATTACTATAATAAGTAATTTCTGAAGTAAACTTAAAGACTTAACATTTTATAAAACTAGATATTTTCGAAAACGTTCCAATGATTTTTATGAAGCTATCGATCTAACCTGTAGTTTGCTATTTGAGAGGGTAGAATTTAAAAATCAATATTAAATTATCAACTTTTACGTAGTTATCAAGGTACAGTGACTCAGATATTTGTTCATATGCTTTTAACGCTAGAATGATTATGGTTAAATATACACTTATTTTGTACATCACATTTATTATTTTAAACGCTGTAATAATTACATCATTAAATTAGCTTTTGTTTAAAAACATTGCATACTTGATACTTTCTTATCACTTTTTATAAACACAAATGCGATTTTTCGAAATTTACGATATACCTACTGATAACGATAAAATGAAAATATTTTTTTAAACGGGGTAATATTAAAAAAGGAAACAGTTTACACATATATGATTAAAATAAACGTATTATCATATTACTGTTTATAAAAAGATGGTATAATATTATTGAGATTGGTAAATTGACAAACTTTAGTATGTTATGAGCAGAATTTCGGAATCAGAACAGTTATTGAGGATAAATTGACGAGCTTACACAATCTATTTTTATTCCTAAAATTGATTTTGGGCAAACATATTTTAATAATCTCCATAATCTGAAATTTTAACAAGCGTAGTTATTCTGCAGTCAAATTTTGAACAAAATTGTAATGTATTTTACTCATGAAGTCTGTGAAAATTTAATTTATTTAATTTGCTTTAATTCTAACTTTATATATATTATACTAATTATATATTGTACATCATAAAGAAATATTAACCTCACAAATAAATCTGAAATCAAATCCGAGTTACTATATCACTGTAAATAAAATTCCTAGAAAACATTCAAAACATATAAAACAAAAAATTTTTAATTTATGTGAGAAAATTATTTCTCGAATTATTATCCAAAACACGATTAACATTTTGTGATCTACTATATTAGATTGCATTTATCAAAACTAAATGTTAAGCATACCACTAAATCTTGCAATAAATTAATTTTATCGAAAACTTTTTACGTTTGTTAAAAATTTCATGAAAATTTTGTTAGAAATGGAAGCTTTCATGGAAAACTTCATAAATATCATAGGTATCAGTATTTAATAGAGTTGTGTTAAAAACAAACTACCACCGACTCAAACTGTTTAAAAATTTAATTAATTATAGAAAAGATGTTAAATATCGCAATGCAAATTACATCTTTAAAAGATATAAAATAATAACAAAATGATTATTAAATAAATGTACAGTATAAAGTGGGTGGCAAAATTATTATATTTAAACAGAACATTCCATATTTTATGATTTTAATCGATGCAATGAAACGGATATTTTCGTTGTAATATTACAATATATTGTATATTGCATAAATAACAATATATATTATATAAACAATATAATATATTGTATATATCATTACAATGTATCATTTTTTAACAATAATACATGTGGTTAAAAATAAAAATTGAATATTTAAACATAAGTCGAACGCTATATTATACAAGACAATACAATTGTTTAATATTTCGTTATTCTGCCTTCTTTATTTGCAACCTTAAATACATAAAAACTAGTACCTACAGAGTATGTATAATGTCGGTTATATTGAAGTCAAGGTTTTAATCGAGCCACTATTAGAATACTTAACATAACCTTAATACTACACCCGCCTTTTATTCTAGAATATATCAAGTAACAGTAATATTGTCAAATTAATGAAGTACGTGTCTGTCATGTATTTTTAAAAAGAAATCTCTTAGGTACAATAATTTGGACATACAGTAAATACAAAACAAATAAAACAGTACTAAAAAATTTACACAAACTAAAATTCATCGATTCTAATTTCTGAAACTTGCCTAACATTGTTCTTTATCGAAAAAGATCCTAATCTAACATAATCTAACAAAAAACCAATTAACGTGTGAAGTTTCCACATCCGCTTTGCAGTTGAAAGCCATAAATATTAACAAAAGAAGAAGAAAGCAAAAATTCAAATGACATTTTCGTCTTTTGAAACACCTTCTAGAAATTCCTTTTTTGTGACGACTTGAAAAAATATTGCGAGTAGAAACTTTTTTATCCGTTCCATCTGTTTCTTCGACCTTAAAGGGTAATGGGACGAAACGGGCCAGAGAAAGGGTAGCCGAGCCACGGAGGTGGATTGTATATGAATGAACCCGGACCCGCTGACTTCCTGCGTTTAGGAAGGTCGTGCACCGTCGCTTTCATTTATCGACGAGAGCCTCCACTACACACAAGAACAACGGGGGTGACCGACCCCGGGAATGTTGTCTTTCGATTAAAAGAAAAGCTACTTTCACTACTATGAAATTACATACGTGCCAATTCATTCGAAACCGAATTGTAAAATGATCTTCAGCGGAATCAGAATTTTTTAATTATTCGAATATGTCAATGTCCTACTCAAACGAGTCCGGCAACTAACAGTTCAGTATCAGTATTGTTAATAATCTGTTTATTTTGAGCGTTTCAATTTGAAATGGATTTCTGTAATAGAATATTTATATCATGTAAAAATAATATTTTGTAATGTTCCAAGATTCATCGTTTTAATACTGAATTTGCGGACGTTTAACGACCACATATATTTACATTGAAATAAAATTATAAAAATAAATAAATAATAGATAGTAAACTAACTTACACAATGATTCTTTATCTTGACGAAGGTTAATGAATATTTGGCACAAATTTTGTAAAAATTTTCGTAATTTGAAGTAAAAAATCTAGCAGCCACTTTGTGGAGTTTTCTAAATCTAGTGTTAAACTCGCTTCATAATAATTCGAGTAAGCAAGGAAGTACTTTTGATAAAGTTCTAATGTTATAAAATTATTTAAATAGTAATTATTATAGATTTATTAAATAATAGAGAATTCAAATTAATCTTGTTTCATTTTGTATTTCATTATAATTTCATTCTGTATTTTTCCATCAGCACGTAATAACGCAACACTGACCAATAATTAAATAACATCGAAACAGACACGACTTCACGTGAGACCCAATTATTAAATTAATTACCCGTAGCGAATGTATTACATGGTTATTATTTATTATATTAAAGTAAGTACATTTTGTATTCTGTGCATTTATGTTAACAATAAATTAATTAATAATAAATTCTTAAACTCGCCATAGAATCAACATAACCTACAAATTTTATATTATATTTTTAATCATTTTTCTCATATTATGAAAACACAAATTCTGCAGAATTTAGAAGGAAAAGAAAAAGAAACAAGATTACAAACAGAAATATGTTTGTGTAGCAGTAAAAGCTTTTAAAACAGACATTTCGTTACAAGTTGTCAGTGAAAAATTTTTCCTGCTAATATTAATTCAGTAAAAAAAATTCATTGTATCTGATTAAATGAATTTATTGTAAATGAAGTATTTTCATTCTAGTATTATTAATATTTTCATTCATTAAAATATTACTATCTTGATTTTATTAAACGAAAATAATCAAATTAATATATGTTTAATATTTAGGACAGTAATTTTTGCTTAATTGCAGATTCTAATTAATTTACGGCTCTTTCTTTCACAAATATAAATTCTTATTTTTATAACGGAAAGCACATTTTTCCCTTTCGGATAAACGTATTTAGTTATAATTTTACATTGCCTAAACATAAAACAAATTATTTTTCATAGGAAACAAATTGTTTTTTTTTATAAGACGTATATAATTCAATGTAAAATACATCAGATACTATAGGATGCATATGATGCGTCAATGGTTACATTAAATAAATAATGCAAGAATTTAGTGAATTGTGACACACTAAGTGCGTCATTAGTTAAAAGTGTGGCGTCGACGCAGACGCTGCACTGTAGAAGAAATAGCGACAAGTACCGTATTGTAAATGAGACAGGAGATAAAAGCACGCAAAATTAAATTAACGAGCGATAAGAAATGTATTTACGGGGTATATCATAACATGTGAAGACCGCTAGAAAAATGGATAGAAGACACGAAAACTTTTATACGAACATGTATCCTATTGTTCAACATAAACCTTAAAATTTAAACATTATTTTGTATCTTTTATTCATGCAATGCAAACATGTTTCTTCTACCGCGTAGTATTATTTAATTTTCTCCTAGATTCGTAGTAGATACATCGAAAAATATCAGCAAAAATTGATGTGTTTTCGTGTTCTTTTTATTTTCATCATTATTTAAGTATATTTAAATGTTAAGAATAGTTAGCTATTACGAGGATTCTACAAACCATGTTCAAAGTTCGAAAGTTGAAGTTTGTTTTTCAAAATTAATATTCTTAAAAACTATTAACATTAAAGAATATGGGTTACGAATTCATATTTAATATTAAAATATGAAACTTGCTGTAGGTTTTAAAATCGGGAAGATTAAATATTCGTCGAACAGCTTTATAGTGTAGGAGTGCGAATGTGTCTTCCATATTTTTTAGATATCGATAAAATTATACATTTTATCTAAAATATACTTTTATGTTTTTTTTTTTTAACATAAAAGTAACTTGCAATACATAAATAATATTGTAGTGTATGTTATGCAACTACCATTTTTATACAGTTAAATTTTCAATAAAATTTGGAGAGTCAATAATAAGTTATCTAAATTAACTCAACAGAACGTACGAAATTAACAATTATAGAAAATGTTCAGAGTATTGTTTATAATCGACCAACTTTATGCTGGCAATTTTGAATACCTTTTATAAAATCTGAGAGTAGTTGCAGATTTTTAAAATACATTTTTATTACTATAAAACAAATAAAAGTGAATTTCATCCGTGTCACAATGTGAGGATACCCATGAAATGTTGCCATAGCAACAGTATACGCAAGATATTGCTACTCGCTACGCCACGCCGTTATTCACATGACATTGAAGCAAAATATTTTTAAAGATACATTTCTTAAAGAAATATAGTCGAAATAATCAAATGTATTACGTATGCACAGTCATTAATCGCACAGAGTAATTATGCGCAGTAAAGTTGATATGACAATTTAGGGTGATCAACGAGCAAACTCAACAATGAATTATTAATCGAAATTAATTATTTGCGTAAACACGGACTGTTTCACTACTGTCACTAATTTTGGTTAAATAGCCTGTGCATACGAACCTTTATAATAATTGTTAGGTTTCCTATTTTTACATTGATGAATATTGAGATATGTAGAAAATGTAATTGCGCAGAATTATTTAAAGACTTGCATATTAAATAACTCTGATAAATATTATTTAAACTGACACAAACGTATTAATATGATTTGAAAATTGATATGATATAAAATTGATATGAAAATTTAGTTTGAATTAATCAGAATATTTTGTTGAGTTGTATAGCAGCTCAAGAAATTCGAAAAGTTATTATTGTAACGTGACAAAAAAAACTAGAAAACGGATAAATGTTAATAGATAATTTTATGGATAAAATAATATTTCGATTAATATATAAATCTTGAATTAGAATTCATAAAATGAAATAAGAATGTCTCCTTATATCTACAGCATAAATAAGTTACTAAAATTAAAAATACGAAGGAATGCTGTTTACTTACTATTTGTTTCTTTAGCGTTGAGATCGTATCCATTCACGAGCATCTGTCGCACTCGAAAATCTTCTTTACGATTGATAGATGCTTGGACTGCCGATTCCCCATTTTTGCTAGTCCAGCGGCCTTTTGACCCTCGCTGTTGTAATGTCGACGACCTTGGGGTAGTGCTTGATGTAGTTGTGTTTTCTGTTCGATTTCCGCCTGAAAACAAATAAGTTCCTCGGACCTTTAATAAATACGTTATTTACTAAATAATTTAAACGATACAAATTATATTTTCTAATAAACAATACAACCTTCAATTAATAATGCTCCATGTAATGCGTAGCAGTATAATAATTACTAATAACAATATTAATTGCAAGGATAGTATTAGTAATAAAAATTGTCTGACAATCACGTTTATTTGAAATGTTTACTACTAATTTTCCATCCTATTATAAAAGTTTCGAAGATATGCAGAAGACGTTTATTTATTATTTATAAATACTGAATTATTAAGATAATTCTACATGACACTATACAAAGTTTGAATATCTACACGTGTGAATACAGAACGATACGACTGACAAGCTACGTTGCGTAAATATATTGTAACATTAACGCCTCCTAGTGCAAATTGTAGTTGCAACGAGTTACCGGCAATCGGTGTCGCTACCAGGTCAATTCTCCCGTGGCGGGAATTCGAGCGCGTGTTAATTATTTATATTAACATAACCCCTTCCTTTGTCATGTCGACAGGAGGTATTTAACGCGGCACCGCGGGAACGTCGACTGTCACAATGTTACGTGGTTGGTAGACCTGAGCGCAAAATACAGGCGGGCGCAACTTGTTCACGCGAAGTAACTAGTTCTGGTTTGACGCTGCAGTTTGTTTCGTAAAATGATTACATACAGCTGAAAGGTACGCGACTATCGAAAGGCATAGATGCTGCATAGTTTACGCGAGTGCTATTTGTTCATGTATCGGTAAGAAAATAAATATGAAGTTTAAAATAAAACAAAGAATCGGGTTTTTAAGTACATTCTTAGAGTAATCTGTATAAATGTTACATCGTAGTGAATTTTATTGACAGCTATTTGATTTTGTGTAACCACAAAATACATAATCCGTTTGAATACATTAAAATCACTAATGGTAAATCGTAGGTAACCACGTATCTAGCATTGTTTGGCCATCAATTATGTGTTCTCGTATCAAAGTCTATAAACATAGCGCCTTCTTATTTTTGATAAAGTGTCCGCCTTTCTTACCTGACACTATTTCTTGAGAGGTCATTTGAAGAAGAAGTGCGAGCTGTTGTCGCTCGGACATCCGCGCTGGGTAACCGCGGAAACGACTGTTACCGCCTGCGGGCATTCCGTCGTCATAACTCATGTAACTCGGGCCCAAAAACGCACAAGGATCGCGATGTGATGTTGAAGAAGAAAATGCTACTTGTGGATAGACGCTTGTCTTTATTTTCAGACCCACTGTAATTTGCCACGAGCGAAGATAACCTAAAATCGTACGGTCGGTTCACGCCATTTTGACCTACCGAGCGCGCACAGATACGTGAATCGACAGTCACGCGACACGTACGCAACCACACGCGCCAAAACCGATTGCATCTGATAAACACTAAGGATTGTCTTTCGCGATTTATGCACTCTTGTTTCCCGGGCCGATGATTTGATTTCACGACGCGGCATGTGTGTGCGTGCTCTTTCGAAAACGAGATTCGCGACACACGACTCAGGACACAGTGCGCAATATGACGCAACGTTTGTTTTGTGTTTACAGTTGGTATCTCTGTCGGCAGTGTATACCGCGCCAATATTCAAATGAATACAATCAAAATGGTTGGTGAGAATAACGTGCTACTAATGTAGTACGAAGTAAACGATTAAAATTGCTACGAAGAAAATTATTAAATTATTTTTTTTCTCAGGAATACAAATGAAATATCTGAGCTGGTAAAATATACTCATATAATTTTTGTGTTTTTTTTTTTTTAATAAAGAAGATGGGTTTACATATTATATAATATATTATTCAATTTTAAGTTATAACGGGACTTTTATCATGCAATTGATCAGGTTTCATGTACATTTGCGAAATAAATAATTAATACAACTAAATGAAAATGATAGAAAATTTGGGTACTATAATTATCCACTATAGTAATTTCAATCTAATGAATATAATAGGCCATGTAATCACCACATACATATACATATACATGAATTTTTTCACACTGTCCATCATAAATAGGATAAACAATTGAACTACGCTCCCATTCTTATCACTGTCACATATGCACATAATCATTCTATACTGTATCGCATCTCGTGTTTATTATAACGATATTACAATTTAATTATGAATAATGATAAGAACACATTGTTTAATTACATCTAACGCAGTAGCTATCTACCAGTAACATCATAGAAAATACATAACGACTTTCTTATCATCAGACCGATTACATACGAATTGTTATTTGTTAATTGACATTTCCAATACTGCGAATTGCACGCAAATTTTTTTCCAATATACAACACTAAATATAGTTGAAAGAAGAAAAAGGAGAAAACAGTCAAGAAGATTAAAAAAGTAACAGGAAATGTAATTTCATTGTATTCACTTTTGTGTGTTGTTTATTTACAAAGGAAATATTTAACTTAATTTTACTTAAATATGATTAATACATTTATTCATTTCTTCCAATAAGTTTTTGAAGTATTAATTGATCTTGAGATATAAGATATCTGTTTTATTAGTTGATTTTTTATAAATTAAATAAACAAAATTACTTGTTATTTTTATACACATAGTAACAGAGCAACAATAAAAAACCAATAAATAATGTATTAATTCTTAGGTATCAAATGTGCGTACATAGTATATATATATTGTAATAGCAACAATTATAATAAATCAGAATTTGAAATAGTCAATAGTACAAAAAATTATAAAGAAATTGTAAAAGGTATATTTAACATAAATATAAGTTCAATAATAACTTCGATATATATATATAATTTAATATTTTTTATCAATTTAATCATTTAGAAGCAAAACGTATTCTTGAATGTTTTGAAGTTTTATATTATTTCTTATTGACATTTTGTTGTAAATAAAATTATAGAATAAGATTTTACAAAATAAAACAAATATCGCGGTAGCTTAAGGATTTACAGTTACTTGATAGCATTAAGTTTTGGCATAAAAAATGAATATTCATATGAGCATAAACACTGTTTGATGCATTGTATGTCAAATAGCCTACTTTTACATTCATTCCCATAAAGTAATAATGAACTGTTTCATACATTCCAAGATAATATAATCATAGAAAACAGTATAATACAAATACATAGTATCTACAGGATGGCAGAGGAAAATTTTTGAAGAATGTTTATCATTCTCTATCGGAATGAGGCTTGTTTCGTGTTGTAACAGGGAACATGTATATCTAAGTGCCATAAATTCTTCAAAAAGTAGTTGGACAGAGTGGTCGTATATAATATTGAATTCAAATTTACTTCAGGAGCTAAGTCATTTATCATTTTCACAAAAAGATTCTGTTTAGTCCCATTTTAATTGGTCTGTCTGTAAAGGTAAGTTTCTTAAAAAGTATAAATAAATAAGGTTTTTAATGAAATTTTCCAATATCTTTCATCAATGTGTTCCTTGGTGTTGTCTGTGCATCTTTTGTCGAATGAGAATATATATATATTTATGTACAAATTATATTAAGAGTTAGAAAGACTAGTAGTTTTATGCTAACTTACAATACACTTATACAACAAGTCATTTACACAGTGCTCCTGTATTACAAATAGGAAAACTTAAGAATTATTTCTGCATTTTATGTTTAAAGACTCAAAATCTATTTAAGGCGATTTTTTTTCACCTCTGTTTGCTGGTCATTGAGTGAAATACACATAAAGCTCTGACAGTTTCTGCATTGAGAAGATTTGAAGTTTTATCAGAGAAAGTTTGTTAAGCTTGGCAACATTTTGCATGGGAAATGGAGGACCTACCTATATCACATCAATACAGATATCAATTATTACTTTGATTAGTTATGAACTTAGACTTGTTATATATCATTACTGAACTGCAATGACTTAATAATAGTTCTTTACTTTCTGACAGTCAGAGGGACGACAGGTTATAGCAGTACGTGACATAAAATAACAATGTCTCTTTGTTTTATATATAAAAACTAATTAAAAATACTATTAGTATATCTTTATGTAATAATCGTGTAATAACAAAAATTTTACAATAAAACAAGACAATATTTGTATCTAGATATATTGTACATGTTTATGCATGGGCAGTTTGTCAATTGTACTTTGTGTAACTAAATTTTATTAATTAAAAATATATAACTGAATTATAGTATATTAGAAAAGAGTATAAACAAAGTCACAGCTTTTGATTATTTTTGGTTCACGTACCGTAAACCTATTCATCGTAACCATCTTTTTCATCGATAGTAAACAATCATGGTTATAATTCCACGCAATTCACTAACTAATTAACTTCAAGGTTAAACGCACATATTGTTACTTCCTAAGTTTACAATATCTATCTACTTTAACGATCATTAAGATTTCATTCGTAATTATATAACAACAACGATGATGACAGTAATGATGGTTATGATTATGATGTTATATGAATGATGATAAATAGTAATAAACAACTTTGTTATTAGTAATTTGCATTCATGTTCTACGCATTGGCTACTAGGTATTTGTTTTAATGGAATGTCTATCTCGATTTTCATTAAAGTTCAAAGGAAACTACTTCTGATATTGAGTATACTGTTATCAGAGCTACATGCGCCTCATAGCCATTACTATTCTTTATTATCAATCTAAAAATAAAATTCAATCATTTTAAGTTGTACATACTCGTAACATCGTCGACAGAGATAAAAGATTTTATTTTTAAGGCGGGTGTAGAAATGAATATAATGCTTAATGGGGATGACAAACGCTAAGAATGACTAACTGAGTGAAGATAAATATTATCCTGCCGAATTTTTTAAAAAATTGTAAGTTTCTTAACTATGAGCAAATATCATTACATTTCAATCAATTTACGTGTCACTTTAAATGTCTAATTTTATAGCGGTGAACTTTCTACCAGTCTTTTTTCCTTCTCCATACCTAGGCATTTTAATTATTAAAATCGTCATATTGAACCCTGTGTTTGACTGTATCTTGTTTTTAACAACATTTGTGTATGGCACAAATGGATATAGAGCTCACATAACTACTATGTGTATACATTGTATTTCTTCCACGCGGACGCGTAAATTGCGGGGAAGACTTTAGAATTTATAGTTTTAATCTCCTTTCGCTATTTTAACCCTGTCACAAAATTTGATGTTACAATCTTGCCAATCTTAAATTTGTATCCTGTGCCATAATGATGGTATACGTACGTCATTTCAAGTAGATTGTTTATCATAGGCATTAATTACTATGATACCGATATTCAAATTGTTAGCAATTGATGCAGACATCGCTGTAATTGTTTTGTCCATATTGCAAAATATTACTGTATATAAATCGAGGTTAATTTTACAAAATTCACTTGCCCACAATTATGATTGGTAAGAGGAGTTCCAGTTTTTGGCAATTCTGAAATGTGGAAGTCAATCATCGCTGTTGCTGCTAATGTTGTAAGGAAAGACTGTCAATATGGTAGTATTCGATGATCTTATGTTAACCGCTGGTATCACGGAAGGTCCACTTGTTTCTGTTGCATGCTAAAGTCTCCACAAGCTAGATCTTCGTGCTCCTGATCCAGATCCTGTTGTACATACACAATACATTTTATTAGATCCAATTTACAGTCGATTTCCTATGGCTACAAAAATTATCGAACGTACGGCTTCTGAAAGCTGATATCTATGCCTTTAAGGATCATACACATGGTTAATGCCGGACTTGTTACTAAACACTACAAACTAAATTGGTTTTAACGATCTTTAATCAGTTTAGCAAATCAGTTACTCGTATAAATATTAGTGGAGAACGCAATGGTACCGGCTTGTTTAACGACATCCTCCTTTATCTATGATTGTACCGACCAGCATGAGAAATGGCCACCATCTCTATGGGCAGGGAACCTCTTCGTTTGACGAGCGGTTCAGGAATAGTGTCCTTTTTTCCTAGTTCCCTCTTCCATTTAAGCCATGTGCCATTATCGTTTCCATCTGTTGATCCTCCAGAAAACATTTCCGGTCCTCCGGAACTCCTCCTTCTCAAAACCTTTTTCCGATTACGAGGCTTACCATTTATGCTACTCCTATTGAACATATCACGCCGTAATTCAGATATGTCTGCTGGCACTGAACCTCGCCGCGGAGACGGCATACCAGGGCCGGTACTATCGATTAGTCTTGTTATTCCGTTATTGTTGCTACTTCCGGTATTGTTATTATTATTGTTATTATTTATTGGGAGATTTTCTCGTTCATCTGTAAACGTGCAACTATAGTAACAAATGTTAAGCAATACCGCCACTCACGATACAAGCAGTTAGTACGTACTGGTTAAAGATAAAATATTGCCAAGAAGATTTCCAAGAGCAGTTTCTTGTGGAAGACTTGCTCTTCTAGGTGTTGCAACATTACCCTCTCGGGGTCCTAAGGCTAATCGATTAATCCCACCTAAAATCATATTATTGGTATTAACCGTTTAATAACTAGTACTGTGTACTTTCATTTATAATATTTCTGCTATTGTTTGCATTTACCTTGATGCCTAGTAATGTCAGTT